ATTTTTAAATATTTAATAATTTTAAAAATTAATATTAGATAATATTTAATAATTTTTAAAATATTTTTAAATATTTAATAATTAAAAACATGAAGAGATAAGAAATAAGATAAAATATACAAGTGAAATAAGAAAAAAAAATGAAGAATTTCGAATTCTTATTTTTGTTTTAGAGAATTTAAAATTTTACTATTTTAAAGAATTTTACAAATGTTTGAATTTTAAATTTTTTTATAAATTATTTATTTAAATAAAATATTTTATCTTTAAAATTTTGAAAATTTTTAAACAAATGAATTATTCTATTTAAACAACGTATTTTGCTAGTGTCAAATTCATGCTTTTTGATAAATTGGACTATTTCTGGTCAACATATTGTCCATTTGAACAAGTTGCAGTCTGTTAAGTTGTGGCATTTGCATGTGGATTGTGAAATAGCCTTCTCAAGTGTAATTCGTGTTGGGACATCAATAATTTAGGGATTTTCGAACATAGATGAGCAATTGTTCTTCAGCTTGGTGCTTCTTATTATTTTTTACCTAATGAAAGATACGTGAAATTGGGTTTAATTTTTATATACATTATCAAGTGTAACCCCAAATGCTCGTTGAAGTTTGAAACATAATCCAAATTTCATCCTTATAACGTGGATGCTGACAGGATCTTAAAATCTCAAAAAACAAGAATATTTCGACTTCAATTAGTAATCGATTCAGACACCAATTCTATTCATTCAATTTAAAAACACACACGCCAACTGAAGGCCACATGGGGAGGCTATGGGCCATTTGACTTCAATAAAAGTAAAGGCAAGTCTCAATCTTAAGTTTTTTATTTTACTTTCAAAAAGGACTTTTTCTAACTAGTTTCGTATTTTTTATCAATAAAATAAACTAAAGAAGCAACTAGTGTGGACGTAAAAGTGTACGTAAAACATTAACTAAAAAATGCCCATAATCAAGCAGAAATGATCGAAATGTCATTTGGGGGGAGAAAAAAATAACAGCATGTTGGCACTCGACACTTAGTTGGACACTTCAATCATATAACTTAATTTAACCTCTCAATTCAAAATCGCGCTTTAACACCCAATGATACAAGGTATCAAATTTAATAAAATTCCATTTTTATTAACTTTTTTTTATAAAAGTTTATGTTAAAGTTAGATAAATCCTATAAAATTTCACAGTTTAAAAATCGATAGTTTAATATACTATTTTATTTCAGCGTATAATATAATATTTTAAATATAAAAAATTTCACCATTAAATGACATTTGATGTTTTCTTAACTATCTAAAATATAGTATATGCAATAGTTATGCCAATATAACATCATTCAATGGTTAAATTAATAAAATTTAATTTCTACCAGAGAATCATTTGATCAAGCTTAATACTAAGCTCGTTTGATCATGTTTAATCCCCCTAGTTCCGTCCTTAAATTCGATCATTAAACCTTAAAGAGTGCAACCTTTCACATCAAAGAGAAGCTATAATCATGTCAAAAATCAACAACGATAAAGCTAATTTTGTTATTCTCTGCACGTTACTTCCACGTGTTATCTGGGCGACATCATGCAGACACGAAAGAGCATCGATTTTGCAGGGTCAAAAGACACGTTGATGAAATGAAATCCGATATCTAAAGTAGCACAACATTGACATTAGTACTTCATCAAATCTAGAAACGACTTTCATTAAGCTAAATCAGTACGTGGAATCATTATACAACTAGAATTTTTCAAATATACACTTAATAATCAGCATATGGAATTAAGACATATTATGCTACTTGGAAGCTTAACCCCCCATCACCCGTTTAAAATCTTAAAGGTGTGGGACAGCTTCTTGACTAAAGTTTCTTTTAATGATTTAACTATTTTAGCTACTATGATTCCATCTAGATGTATGATGATAAATTTTCATGCTACTAGACTGGTTTAGCAACCTTTAGGCTGCAAAGGTCACAAAATTTGTCAATGAAATTGCGAGACATCATTCTCAAACTTAGGCGAAGTAGTAGTCTTAATGGGAGCCCAGATATCTGCACCATTGCTCTCAGCAACTCCCATTGTAATTGAGACAGGAACAAGACATAACCCTCTACTCCTCAGGCTGCATGGCTCCATACCCTGAAGTATTGCAACAATTCAATTATAACCAATTCAACACCAATCAATTAAATTGTATGTTTACCAAGGGTTAATTCATGAATGTAGAACAGCCATCCAACATACTATACGAAACCTATGGGGAAGGAATTGATTTGTTAAATTTGATGTGGCCTCTTTAAAGCATATGAACCAACAATAAGAACGGTTTAGAGACAAGGGTTCTTGTTAGTATAGTGAATTATAGGTTTAAATACCCTTTTGGTTCTTATAGTTTCATAATTTTTTTCTTTTTAGTCCCTATAGTTAAAAACGCTCCATTTTAATCTATATACTTATCATTTTTGTTTCATTTTAGTCCTTATTATCTATTGTTATAGGAACTAAAAGGTAAAGTTTATGAAATTATAAAGACTAAGAAAATAAAAATGGCATGTATGAAGACTAAAATGAAATGTTTTTAATTATAGAGATTAAAAAGTAAAATTCATGAAACAATAGGGACCAAAAGTGTAATTAAAACTAAATCTTATATAAATGTGGAATAATAAATCTTTCTTAAATGTGATGCTAAAAATGCCCCCCAAAAAATAAGTTCGACCTCATGCAGATCCTACTCCACCGTGGCAGTGTTCATGTTATTCTCACCTGCATCTTGACTGCTGGTGAACTTTCAAGGTATGGAGCACTTAGCAGCTGTTAAATCAGGAGGAAAAAACATTTGCATAAGATCAAAGTCTTTTGAATATAATCTAGAACCTCAATTCTAAATATGAATGCTTGCTTGTATATGAGCATATGAAACAACAGTAAACCTTGTCATTGAGGTATTGTACATTTCCACTTCACGATATCTAGTCCTATTATAATGCCATTCTAGCCTATAAAAAAAGAAATTACTGCCATTCTTTATTACCACGGAATAAAATTTTCAGTTGGGCAGGAATAACCAAGGAGAATAAAAGAAACAGAGAACAGACACAATTTTAGTGAAAATGAAATGCCTTATTTTTATGTCTTGATAGGAATATATTATTCAAGTATGTTGCTGCAAAATTTACATTAGACCATAGATCATAGCATAATTTAGATCCAAGTAGGCATGTGTATGGTATGTGAAACCAATTACTAGAATATTTCAGATGATTTCAGCATATTGTGGCAAGAATGGCCAAACCTTAACTTGTTTATGAAGGAATCCTATGTAATCCATTGCCTCCTTTAGAACAGAAGATGTATCTGTCTGCAGTGTGAAGTACAGAATCTTTAGACTCGCAGAAACTTGGAACAATTCATTTGATTGAAAACAGTAACAGATGAGATATCATATGACTCAAATAAGCACTCCTTAAATTTATTTTTTTATTCAAATCAAATAAGCATGACAAGCTGGCAAGTATATTTATGAAACAAGTATTTGTAAGTTGTTAAACAATACATTGTGTAAGGACTAATTGTTGTATACCTTTCCATATGGTGAAACAAGCTGCTGAAGAGCAACAATTCGCTCACCAATCTTCTCCTTTCTCTCCTATTTGCAGAAGCATTAGAAATGTCATACAAAGTTAAGAAATAAGCAGGAAAGACTGCCTTCAATGAAGAAAATTAGATATCAAAATTTTGATCATCATGGAGAGTTTCATATAAAAGGTTGGTTGAACACTAGTATTGCCTTTAAGAGAATGAAATATCAAGGGTTTTTAGTTAATATGACCCTTTGAATTCCTTCTACCTTTATCTACTGATTTTTAGTAGTACAGCTGAGTAGGCTTAGCACTGAATTAGACATTGATTTCAACCAGAACTTAGTTTATAGTTAATAACATTGAACAAATTGAAAATAATCATAAGACACTACGACAGCCATACTCAAGGTATGAAATTATGCAATGCATCATAAGAAACACCAATATATTATGTGGCAATTCATAGATTTAATTATATAATACAAAGCAAATAAATTTATGTAGAGAAGAGGCACCACTGCTTAGTTAATGAAAATTTTCTAGTAAAGCTTGAATATTATACACGAGTAGTACATACTGAAACAAAAAAGAAAAAAAAATGGAAATAGAACTGTTATTCAACAACCAACAACAAAAATGGGAGAAAAAAAGAAACCTTAGAGCTGATCGATAAATCAGCCTTTTGCCTTTTAGATGCAATAGAAGTGTAACTGCTTTGGTCAACAGAGCAGGGACTCCTTTTATGTTCCATCATCTTTCTAACATCCATCCCCTCTTCTCTCTGGTGGCATCAACAAAGAAAACTCTTGTATAAGAATAAGGAAAAAAAATGAAAAAAATGAATACAGATTTTAAAAGAAACCATTATACCATCAAAACTTCCTCTAACTAGAATGGCAAGTACCAAGTAATCTAAATCACTTGAGTGGTGAGGACTTATTTTGTTCATAGTTGTCAGACACAACCAAAGTGCATATACAATAGACATAGCAATTACTACAATATACTTTTCAGTTTCTTTCAAGTTTGAGATATGGTCAATAGAAGTTTGGAGATGCCAAAATCCACAAATTGAGGAAGTATTGAATGCAAATTGGAGTCAAAGTGGGTTTGGCCCCACCAGTTCAATTGTTACAGTCAACAGATTTAAATTTCTTCTTGGCCTCTGGTTCAGCTTCATTGTCCCTACTTCCTAAGGAGATCAAAGGGTAGGGAAATCTATTGAGTGAGCACCCTGACAATTCTTTGAATGAATCTGCCCAACATTATCCCCCCAAAAAGTTGCAAATGAATGAAAACACAAGTAAAGGGGCCATCAGTAACCAAGTTTCGTAACTTAATGGTTGTAAGGTTTGTCCTAGAACCGGGGAGGCAACCTGGTACTCCTAGGATTGAATCTTGAGGTATTAAAATAATACTTGGACAGTAGAAGTCATGTCTAACTGCAAATTAGTCTTTAGTTACCTTGTCTATAGGCCCCAAAAAGGGGCCCACCAGTTGAAAAAAAAAAAGCACAAAGTGAAGCTTAAAAAAAATTCAAACACCTCCAATGAAGGGGAAAAATTCCTCCAAGTGGAAGTGTTTGTTTTTGCTCCAAGGTCCTGCCTAGTATGCAACACATAAGTATGGGACTCAAATCAACCATTCTTGTTTTCTTTCTCTTCTCTTCTCTCCCCCTTCAATTAAAAAAATAACACCTCAACAAAAAACAATTAACAAGCAGGAGAGAGAGTGTTACTTTTAGAAGAAAGAAAAATTTTGTATTATGACGTGTCATTTTCATGATGAACTCATAGTAACATGCGCTGTTTAGTCAAGAATAATGCTGACATTTATCAAATCAAAGACAAACCATGTCCATCATCGTTACTCTCCCCCCTAAAAAAGGACCATCTATTTAAATATTTGATAATCTCAGAAATACAAACTGGTAACAGCTACACAGCAACCCAAAATCAAAATGTGGCCCCATGGCCATGGCAATGATGGTACACTACAAGGAAAAAAATTGCCAAGGGAAAATGAAATGAACCATCCATGCATATTCAAACAACATAAGGCACAAGCTCCTTCCATAGGGCCAAGGGTCATCACTATCATAACACAACTAATCACACTTTATTAATTGTCAAAATATCTTAATCCGAGAATAGTCAAGATTGTGATTTTAGTTACCATACCAAAATTATTGTTTAATTATTAGTAATTTCTTTTGTTTTGGGTAATTTAATTTTAATTAATCATTCATTTGCAACTTTTGTCAAGAACCTCAAATGTGTGGTGGGCCCACCATTTATTTTTTAGGTGAAAAAAAATACTTACACACACCTTGCATGAACGAATCTAACTTGCGTACAAAATCTTCTCAACCACCTTTGTTTAATGTTCAAGGATATCTTAATTGACAACATGCATAAGGACATAGGAGTAATTAATTAATTTACGGAAAATGATAACGATTAATCCATAGAGAGAATCACATTCACAGGGTTTGGTTTTGGGCTTGGTTTTTGCAATATCATAAATACAAAATATAAGCCCAAACACTCATTTATTACACATGTACTTAGAATAAGAACAATTCTGATCATAATTCTCTAGTAATTGGAGTGCAAGGAAGAAGATTAGAAAGTTACAACAACAACTATCACCACAAACTCTCAAAATTTCCAATGAAAACATTCAAGCACAAGAGGAACAATGAAAAAGCCCATTTACCAATAACCTTCATGGAAAGTGAGAACATAAAGACAGCCCTTGAAGGACAGAAAGACTAAAATTTGGTTAAGAACTTACTGAGAACATAGAATCAGCATTGCAGAAGGAGCTGGCTATCATCTATGACCCTTTTGAAGCTAAAAGCTGAAATGGTTGAAACCAAAACCCAAGGAAATGTTTTGGTGGGTATCTTCCAAAAGCTTTAAAGCTTGAGACTTTAAGCAGTGCCTGTGATTAGAATTTCATTTTAATACTTTGGCAAGAAAATTAAAAAAAAAAAAAAAAATTGATAAAAGTAACATGCATGGTTACAATAGGACAATAAATGAAGTGACGTACTTGTCCTTGAGAGAAAAACTAGTGAAAGGTCATCAATGGAGGAAGAGAAAGAGAAGCAAAGGAGAAAGAAGAAGAGGAAGAAGGAGGAGAAGGTTAGTGTCAAAATCTGATTTTATAAAGCTAAATGAATATAATACAATAATTCCTTACGTAAGATTTTTAAATGTATATTGTCATAAATATACTTGCCAGCTAATATCCAACCATGACAATGTTTTTGTTTTTCAGTTTTTTTTCTTTTTCTTTCATAATCTTTTTATATGAAAACTGTGCGTAGTAGAAGACAAAGATTAGTAATTAATAACAAATGTAAAAATTGGTGAGTTATTTGTGAATTTATTTATGTAAAAGGATTAATAATTTTTTAAACTATATTTAGTTGTTGTAATATTTTTATTTTATTTTAAGACGACAAGAACGAAACTATTTTTTTTGTAAACTAACATGTTTTATTAATTAAAAAAAAACTGTACTGGGGCTGAAAATAGGTTTGTCTATTAATAAATAAAACAATCATTTGGAAATTAAATTAAATTTGTCTACGTCAGGAATCCTATCTTTCCCGAGAAGACAAATATTTGTGACATAACCACAAGTGTTCATTATAAAATACTGTTTTAACATTAAAAAAAAAAACAAAAAAAAAACTTGGAACGTGGGCCTGTTTCTAATATTTTTTTGTTTTGTTTTGAAAATCTGTATTATTTAGTGAATAAGCTATGCGAAAGTTAAAAATGTTTATAGTAAGTTTCTAAAGTATTTAAACTGAGTAAAACTACTAAGAATACACATAAAAGTAATTTTCCATACAAAACTCGTTAAGGACAACGCTAATTTAGAAGTCTTTCACTTCTGTTTTAAAAGTGACACTAATTCAAATTTAGAAAGACAAAAATATTTTCGACTAAAGAAGGTTAGACCTCTAATAACAATAGTATTAATATGTATCATAAAGAACACATTATATATAAACCCCATGTAAATGAAGCATAAAGAACACATTATATATATATAACTAATATTTTCGTGGACGAGTTTTTTTGGTACCCTTGTACCTTTATAATATATCTATTTTTGCTGATTAAAATATAAAAAAAAAACAGTCCCCTTGACACAATGATTCACCTCATTTGTTTACAATCACGTTAAGATAATAAAGTTCAACTTTTTTCTCCTACTTTTGTGAAAGGTAATTATACTCTAGACAGATAAATATTAAATGTAATCGTCTTTTTGGTAGAAATTTAGAGCACAATTCCCTACTTTAATTGGGTCGAAATTCTATCTTGAAATTTAGATTTTCTTTTTTTTTGTTTATTTTTTTTATGATAAGTTTAGGTTATCGTGAGTTAACTTAACTTCATATAATATTATATATTATTTTATATAACTTATTATAAATTGTTAATTTACTAATTTATATATAAGAAAATTATTATTTTTACTTAGTTATAATCTTGTTCAAAAGTATTCTATTATTTCTTTTCTGTGAAGGTCGCATTGTTAAAACTTTCACTTTTCCTTTAACAGAGAAAAATAATATTTTTTGAAATTATTTTTATTTGTTCTAAGGAGGATTAAAGTCTAATGACAATAATGTCTCAGAAAGCACACTAGACACTACCAATCTATGTCGTATAAAAGAAGCATACATGTACCTAAGAATAAGATCGTGTCTGTCATATTGAGTTATCCTAACTTGAAGAATGAAGATAATTAAATTGGATTTCGGTCTTGAATATTGGTCTTTTGTATTTCCGAGTCAAGTTAATATTATAATGTGAATTTTTGCATCTTATTTTTGGCCAATAATATTTAAAAAAATAATTTAATAATTTATAGAATTTTTAACTTACATTTATATCTTTACTTATATAAAATTAATCTTATAATTAACTTAACATATTTTAAATATATTAAAAATTGTTCTTTCTTTTCCATTTCTAAACATTAAACCTTAATTATGTTAAATTTAAATATCTATATTTTATCTTAAATATAAAATCAGCACCTAACTTTATTTTGGTTCTAACCACGATCAAATTTTTTTTGACCAAGTTATTGATGAAAAATATGTATTAAGACTTTATCAATAACTAAATTTAAAAAAAATTATATCGGATTAACTATCTTTAATAGAAAAAAAAATTCATTCTAATTAAGATTTCTCTATTCATAAAATTCGAATACAAAATGTTATTTAAAATATACAAATTCAATTTTATTTAAACTAACAACATGTTAATAATCAAGTCATTGTTTAACAACAAAATAATAATAACAATAATAATATTTCTTTTAAACTATTCATAAACCATGAGTGGATATTTTGTAAGTCCCATGTCATGTATATATATATGTGTGTTGTTGGGGAGACCCTAATAGAAGGTACTGTTGTTGCTTACGGAAGGGACTATGACCCCTCGTGTTCAATATTAGGTTGTGCATGTAAAATCCACTTCTAACTAAAAATAAGGTGCTGCTTCTGCCAAGCCAGTTTCATAAAAATAAAATAAATATATAAAAACTGAAATTCATTCACTATTTTTATAGCTAAGCCAATCCACAAGAGGCACCCATCTTTTATTTATTTATTTATTATTTTATAAAGAATTAGTGTAAGAACATGTTATAGCTAGGTTAATTACCCATTAGGGTGCTCATGAATTTCATAATGCAGAATACATATAATATATGCAAAACTCTTTTTTATGTGAAGAATCTTATCTAAAACTTTTAAAGTGATTAAGCCAACATGCATAAACAAAACGATATCATATTAATTCTAATAATTAACATTGAAATTTCATCTAACTTTTGGAATTTTTTAAATGAGTGTTCTTTAAATTTTAACATGTGAGTTTAAATTTATTCAACTACTTATATGTTTTATATTATTGAGAGATACAAGTAAATATTGCATCGTTGTAATAATTGATTTTTTTTTGTTATCTCTAATAAAAATATAACAATATATATATATATATATGTAT